GATATTCGTTTGTAAATTAATATTCCTGTAGTAGTTGTGTTGAAGCTTTGTATTTATTTTTTCGCTAGGAACTTGATGTTTATAGTAAAATATTCTTGTTCGTACATGGCCGTTGTTTCATCATTTTAATAGACGCCACATTTGTTCAATACATATGAGTTTGCCGCCTGGATTACCGAGGACGTTGTTAGATGTGCGTAGATCACGTAAAGGAGTTTTAACAAGAATAGCAAACCAATTGGATGTACTGCTAGGCTCCGAAGTTCACGATGATTCTGCACAACGAGTAAACACCCTAGAGGAGCGTCTCGACGAAGCCTTTCAGAAGTTTAAAGACGTTCACGACGAAATACTAAGTTATCTTGTTGACCCAGCTGCCATCGAAGAGTCTTTCAAGTACTTCGACGAAAAATTCATCGAATATAATGAATATAAACGAAAAATCACCGTTTGGAAGGAMGGCTTAGTGAATCCCGAAGACTCTGTGAGCTGTGCTGTATCCCATTCGTCATGGAAGTTACCGAAGGTCTCATCGAACAGAGCAATGCATGCAGCTAAACGAGCAGCGCTTCAAGTCGAGGTTTATTTGTTGAACAAGAAATACGAACTCGCGGAAGAAAAGCTACGCCTACAGCGACAAGAAGAGCAGTTAATGTTGGAGATGGAGCTTCACAAAGTCAAAGCGCGGGAAGATATCTATGAACGAGCCGAGTGCCGTSAAGAGATGAGCGCTGCCCATGACTTCGAAGAATCAATACCGAAATTTCATGTCCCTAAACCATCKCCACAGCATGCAAGGCCTACTTACGACTTGGATCAAAATCTTTGCCATCCAAAAATTGAAGCAGTCTCTGAAAACCGTTATCATGACCTGAATGTGCTAGAATCGCTACAAAAGCAAGTTGAAAGGCAACTGAAAGCCCAACGCCTTCCAAGAATGGACCTCTTCACATTTGATAGCAACCCACTGAATTACTACGCCTTCATGAAGTCCTTCGAAAACAATGTAGAAAAGTGTACCGATGATTCCAGTCAAAGAATCCAGCTGCTAATCCAATATTGTTCTGGGAAAGCTAAAGACATCGTTAAAGGTTGTATCATGTTAAAMGCGGACGAAGGCTACAAGACTGCAAAGCGTCTCTTGGAAAAGAGATTTGGTGATAAGTACGTGATCACCGACGCTTGGATAAAAAAGATTGCTTATGGTCCACCTATAAGTTCTACTGACCGTGAATCGTTACAAGACTTGGCAGACGATCTAGAAAACTGTGTCATAGTGCTGGATGTTACTGGACGACTCTCCGAAATAAGCACAGATGAAAAGCTCGTAAAGATTGTGCAGAGGTTGCCTCCCTATCTGAGATCACGTTGGCAAGCTAAAGCCAGAGAAATAAGAGACAACGACGAAGCACCGAACATTGATCACCTAAAACGTTTTGTTTCAAGAGCAGCAGCAGAGAAAAACGATCCTGTGTTTGGCAGCGTCTTAGATCGTGGTGACAGCAAAGAAAAGCTACAAACCAAAAGACAAGTACCCTACAACACTAAAGGTCACGTATTTAACATACAAACAGATGTTCAAG